GACGTTGTGGTCTGTGGAACGAACATTTTATATTGGCTACCATATTAGATCACGAGTATGCGTGTTGCTCATTACCTACTATTATTTGATTGATAACGGGCATCTCGGAATTCCTAGGTTAGATCTGTATTGTCCTGCTGTATGACATGACAACAATGATCTGCTCATGGTTATTGGGAAATAGATAGAGGCTCATAGTTGAACACGATGACATGACCTCCGGAGTTCCGAAACGAACATATGTTTTTTTTCTGAGGAAGATAGATAATTGTCAGTAGGAATCCATCCGGCCTGTATATTCGGAATTTGAAGCTTGCTACGCTGATTAAAGCCGGGAAGACTTGGATATTGTGTATACTACACCCTAGGTAGCTTCACGTCTAGAAAGACGAGTAGCCAGCCTTGTACAGCATATACAATTATACCCTTTGGCAAAATACCACACGGCACACAAGATATAGTAGGTCTAAATTCGGAATAAGTAAGATCTAATAATATTAATGAACCAAGTGCCGAGCGCGCTCTCTTTGAATCAAGAGTACACAACCCTCTTAAAGAAAACCTTCGAGCTGTCTCACCAGATACAACTACTCCAAAGCCATGGAACAACATGTTACCAAATTGCCCATTTACCTTGCCTCTATACGATCTCATCGTAAAACAAGGCAGGCTTATCGCAAACTCGAACCCTAAACTCTCTACGCGGTTCCCTCCAGGGTAATACCGAAACCGAACTTAGCCCACCCCCTTGCACATTTAAATGTACGAAGATCAGAGAGGGGACGGCCCGGACGTACGTCTACGCCTACATATACCGAGAGGGTGTAGCCTATTAATAAACTCCGGGCCCGTGGGCGCGGGTGCCTACGTTATTCCGCATATCACGAACGTCAGCTTTCTCGTCCTGACGCCCGCTGCAAGTAACCTACCGCAGCTACCCGTGTCGTCCCCGACTTCCACTTGACTCCACTGTCCACGTGTGTCGTTCTTTTCCCCTGTAGAATTTCAGACTGCTGGCTCGTGTAGTTAGAATAATCCTTAAGCTCGGTAAGTTTGACAAGTTTGGCGTAGATTAGATGACTCGGGTTCACATATGACGAAAATATATCTGCAAGCTCCTTATCCTATTGAAGTTATCTATAGGACTTCCCCCACGGAGCCTCTTAGCCTCACATATAACCTGTGACTTATGATATCACTTGTCTCGCACTGCTATGGTAATGAACCGGCGCGGTGGTCCCGTTTATGTCAGTTTACCCCATATCTGAGTATAATATTGATGTCTTGTGTAGGAGTATAGGAACTCGAAATACCTAGACATAGTAAGTCTTAGATAAAAGCTAAGGTGGACTTGCATATTATCCACTTCGCGAATCTATAACCTTGATTCATCACGTTCCTTGAACTGCCCGTGGAAGTATGTATGAAGTAACGCATGTATTAGCTATGCCACTGATATTTGACAATCTGATCCATTCCGTGAGTTCAATATCCGATACCGCCCATCCTGAATCATTCTCGATACATCGTCGGTTGATCGCAATACCCGGAGGGAAGTTCAAAAACTATCCATCTTCTGTCGCGTTCCCGACTCCGGGGGATCGAATATCATGTTCTCGTTAAAAGGAAACCGATGCCAAACCAGCAATTCACAGACGAGACTCCATGCAATTGCAGGAATTCTTTCTTTTTAATTGTTGATGCTAGACGCAAGGCTGGAGCCTGATACCTTGCCTAACCCAGATGCAGCCAATCATGAGAACCGTCCACACTACCAACTCCGGCCCTAACCCATCTTATATCGACGAAGGGTAGAGCATGATACGAACTGAAGCACCGAAAGACTTGGAGGGGAGGGGAGTAGCGAACTTCGCTCGGACGACGCCGGAGTTGCCTGGGTGTAATTATTAGCATGATATCTTCCGGAACGCTAAGGTAAGCGGGAAAGACATACCGTGAGGTCGGGTAACCTTGCCCCAGATCACGCGGATCTTGGTTCCTCGGATCTCCTTCTGGCCCTTGTAGACATACGCAACCTTCTTTCCTAGGTAGAAGCTGCGCCAAATATGTTAGGTTCTAAGTTGAAGTAGTATAGATAGTTCTTAAACCTACTTGGCGGCGTTGGTGTCATCGACACCCTCGATCTTGATCAAGCTCGTCTTAGGGTGGGTGGTGTGTCGGCTACGTTGGTAGCTTAGGTGACGTCCCCTAAAATACGAATCCAAGTCAGTCCTTGCTTTATTCTCCTATGCGTGCCTGATTGAACCATGTCGTCGTGAATTCCTATGAAAAAGCGGTCGGAATGTCGGGGGAAAACTCCGGTCTTTCCTGTAAAGAATTTGGTTCGAAGGGTAAATGATTTATAGATTACTTACTTGACGTATACTGTAGAAAAATAAATTAGTATATATTTAATAATTGAAATATTTCCAAGTAGATTGAAGCCATTAAGCTGCAAGGCGCGAAAGGAAGTGCTTTACGCGACCGCGATAATGCCGGATCAACCCCGTAGAAAATTCATAGTACTTACATCTGTGACCGGCTTCTGAAGGCATCTTGACTGAGTTTTTCCACGGCTCTCAGAAATCCGATATGGTACTGGAATCCGGGAGAAGTCTTTCGCAGAAGAAGACCTTTGTACGCTGGGCGAGTTTCTGTCGTCGAATGTTGTGATGACCAAATCTCAAGGTGGGTTAGGCTTGACGATGGAGGTTGATTGATGGAGATGGATTGGTGCGAAGTGCTAAGCGAAGCCCTGTTGCAACCACAGAAAAAACAATTTTTTTGTCTGGTGTGGTGGCTGATAATTTCTTATCACTGGCCACGGTGTGGCTTAGATATCTATAGACCCCCACCTGACCTATCATCATGATCTCCACCTCACTAACAGGCTACCTAGGTACCTAAGTATTCCGTATCACCTTCTAGAAATCAAAGCTCGCCCCGAGATGCCCGAACAATAACCTCAAAACTTTGACAAAATTATAAGCACCAAGAAGCTAAAAATGAATCATTATCACATATAGCTACCAAGTCTACAACAGTACCCAGAATACCCATCTACCTACCTATATAACCAGACTATATTACAATCCATAGTGCTCATGACCTTGGGTTTTTGAATCGGATTTAATCTGTAGCACTGCAGAAATCTTATCTCCATCTAATTCCGCAAGATCGCAGCTCTTTGAGTGTTACTCTAACTAACAACTCATAAAGGCAAGCGGATGAATGGCATGCATGGATGGTAGTAACACCCAACAGATGACTTACTAACACCACATACGAAGACCCAACCCTTATAACGTACAAGAGTGGTTTGACCATTTGTGCCACTCAAATTGGAGCCTGCAGCTAATAAGTCAAAGTGTTGACAAACACCAATCCGGCGTTTTCTTCATCTTACTTCAGTCATATCTATTCATTAACCTTTCATGTATTAGTACCATGTCTCAAGCTAACTAATTAGTATTTAATGTCTGATGGTCATAGACACCTAACCCAAATCCCGAAGGATAAGGTATTAGCGAGCACAGCACATGGCTACTCGAGTCTTCGCGATGCTACATCTCATCTAAGAGGCGAATTTGTGTTCATTACAGTAAATCATCCCGTCAAAGTCGTGCCGCGGCCTTCCGTGTGATACAGCGGCATTACATGCCCTCTTTTCCGCCTCATTACTAGTCTATCAATAATCCCTCACACTTTTGTGTGCCAAGTTGGTGTGGCCGCTGCAAGAGGCTCACTCTACCACCATCCCGTTGCAACCATGTATTAGCCAGGTGGTTTGCTGCCTGTAAAACTTGGGAATGATAAAAACAGAAATTATGGCCCAGGGATAGTAGAATAAATATCTGCCGAGGCACATAGTGGAAACCCGCTGAGTGAGAAGGGAGGCTTATTACACAAATTCATAAATCCCACGGGATGCAACAAGAGTCGCTCGCTCGCTTGCTCGCCCCGCGGCCGCAGGACCCTTCCGTTGAGTCTCAAATTACCCCGCGGCCGACGCAACAATTGATTTGTTCTCCACCAATGGACCAGCTTAACCGTCTTTAAGTTGAAGGTAAGCTTTCGAGTAGTAGTTTAGATAGCTTCAGGTAGGAGGTCCAAACCAAACCGCTGTAAGGGAAGGATTCAAAAGTAAGCTCTCCTCGGCTCCCCACTACTTTAATAATCCGCTATTACTACGGTCAATTTAAGCCGTTCTCGGCCATTTTCCCTTCTACCGCCGATGTCTATTGGTCAGCAGTTATTGAGCGATCAAGGTATAATACCACGATGCTATTATAAGCAAGTAATACATACCTACATACGTCAGTAAGGACATCTCCTTTCAAAATTGTACGCGTATCTTTGCTTTTCGCTTACTCATAAAGTTTAGTAGTTAGTTAATAGACAAGATGTATTTACCAAGGCGAGGCTAGTAGGTAGAGTATATTAAAAACCTTACAAGGCCAACAAGTCGAGGTTTTTTTTCCTTCTTCGTCTTCTACCGATACATACATAAAGCAGATATTCGAGTTAAGTAAGGTAAAGTAAAAGAAGAGAAGAAAAAAAAAAGCAACGGTAAAAGCAAAACTGATGATCATACATCATTCATTATCCAAAAAGAGTTTAGAGGTGCGGGTGTTAATATTCTAAAAGTGCTTAGACCGTGGAAATAGCGCTCTTGCTAATACGGCTCCGATGACATATCTGAAGGACCAACCCACTCTTAGCCACCTAAAGTAAAGTACCTAAGCACATCCTATGGACCTGATATCGGCCTTAACAATCAATTACCGCCTGTGACCGACAGCTATTCGTCCGTCTCGCCCGGCCAAACCAGACATTTACTTCCTTCAACGACTTGATCCCTCCGCCTTCCACTCGGTCTTTCCCATATTTTCACGACATCTTTTCCCCTAAACCACATAAATACCTCTTTCCATCATTTATTGTTATAGTTATTTCCGTCTTTATAATTATTATCCTGCCCTACCGGCAAACCAGTCGCAATGGATTCCCCAGCAAGGTAAGCTCACAAATACCCCGCCCCCGCCCCGCCATTCAATCATCAAATCTAGGTACAGAGAGCTTCAGGATTGCGCTTGCGAAAGCTTTTATTGCGTAACTCTGTTTCCTGTTTAAGAAAGATGAAATATCTGGAATTATGTATAAGGAATTGCTTTTTCATGTATAGAACATGTACTAACAATCCCTCCCTAATAGTGGTATGGAGCTGAAGGACAACACGGTCATCATAGTCCTCGGCGCATCAGGAGATCTTGCAAAGAAGAAGACAGTACGTATAATAAACAACTGTTTTACCACATTTAAAGCTTCCTAGCTAATTTAAGTACCATAGTTCCCTGCCCTCTTTGGCCTTGTAAGTATTTACATCAAATCCGACGTGCCCGGCGCGGCAGACTAATAACTAACGCACTCGGAAGTACCGCAACCAATTCCTCCCTAAAGATGTTAAGATCGTCGGATATGCGCGAACAAAGATGGACCACGAGGAATACCTCAAGAGAGTCAAGTCATATATCAAGACGCCTACTAAGGATTTGGAGAAGCAATTGGCAGAGTTCTGTGAGCACTGCAGTTACGTGTCCGGCCAATACGATCAGGACGAGTCCTTCTTAAACCTCAATGCTCACCTTGAGAAGCTGGAGGATGGTCGTCACGAGACTCACCGTCTCTTTTATATGGCCCTCCCTCCTAGCGTATTTACCATCGTCTCCCAACACTTGAAGAGATGCTGTTACCCTCCCAAGGGTATCGCGCGAGTTATCGTAAGGACATTTTCTTCAATGCAGCGTCTCGAGACATCTTTCTAATATTTCCATGCAATTAGGTTGAGAAGCCCTTCGGAAAGGATCTTGCCAGCTCGCGCGAGCTACAAAAGTCGTTGGAGCCTGATTGGAAGGAGGATGAATTGTTCCGTATCGACCACTACCTTGGAAAGGAGATGGTGAAGAACATTCTAATTCTTAGATTCGGTAACGAATTCTTCGGTGCTACCTGGAACCGACACCACATAGACAATGTTCAGATCACATTCAAGGAACCTTTTGGTACGGAGGGTCGTGGCGGTTATTTCGACGAGTTTGGAATTATCCGAGATGTTATGCAGAACCATCTGCTCCAGGTTTTGACGCTGTTAGCCATGGAACGACCTATCTCTTTCTCGGCGGAGGATATTCGTGATGAAAAGGTCCGTGTACTGCGAGGTATCCCAGCTATCGAGCCGAAGAACGTCATTATCGGCCAGTACGGAAAGTCCCTCGACGGCAGCAAGCCTTCTTACAAGGAGGACGATACCGTTCCCAAAGAATCGCGATGCCCGACCTTCTGCGCTCTGGTCGCTTACATCAAGAATGAGAGGTGGGACGGTGTTCCGTTTATTATGAAGGCAGGCAAGGCCCTGAACGAGCAAAAGACGGAGATTCGAATTCAGTTCAAGGACGTTACTAGCGGTATCTTCAAGGACATTCCCCGAAACGAGCTCGTGATGCGAATCCAGCCGAACGAGAGTGTTTACATTAAGATGAACTCCAAGCTGCCTGGATTGAGCATGCAGACGGTTGTCACAGAACTCGATTTGACATACCGACGACGATTCTCGGACCTTAAGATTCCCGAGGCGTACGAGTCGCTGATTCTAGACGCGCTCAAGGGTGACCACTCGAACTTTGTCAGAGATGACGAGCTTGACGCCAGCTGGAGGATCTTCACCCCTCTGCTACACTACCTTGATGATAACAAGGAGATCGTCCCGATGGAATACCCCTATGGTGAGTAGAAAACATCGGCTCGTAATATTAAATACGTACTAACCTGCATAATAGGCTCGCGAGGACCGGCAGTCCTTGACGACTTTACATCGTCATACGGGTACAAGTTTAGCGATGCTACGGGTTACCAGTGGCCGATGACATCTGCCGCGCCCCCTAACAAGTTGTAAGTAGATATCGGCATGGCGTTTCAGCGATAGATTTTGGGCAGTCTTGTAGACTTCCATAGAGCGAGCAACCCACTGATATCTTCCCCCGATAGTTAATTTTTAGTCTTGCATCGGCGGTATCCGTCGTGTGCGATGTTGACTAGACTACCGGTAAGGGGCGCATGAGAATGTCAAGCTTGGGGCGCGGAACGAAAAATGTGATCTCCTTTCAACGTGGGATCGTCGGATAGGGGGCGCACGGGACTACTAATAAGGTCTGCCACCGATATTTTCATAGAAAGCAATGTTATGCTCTATTTTAAGCAGCTTTAAGTCGTGATCAGTTTTTGTTCCATAATATGAAGAGCCTCCTAGATATTGCATGGGTTGGCCGTAGTCATATCCATTCCACGGAAGACTTCTAGTAGGCGCGCAGTAAGGATTGCGGGGATCCATTGCTGTAGGCTGTCAGCTGGTTGACATTGATATAAATGCCAAGGCTAGATGTCACGTAGACGTGCTACCATACCCACTATATACTGTCATCCATTGAGAAGTACGGCTCGTAGTGATAGATCTTGGACAATAAAGATAAATATCGGTCGGCTGCGATGCCAAGATTCATGAGTCACTCTGTGTTCATTTGCTAGCTGCGTTACCTTTTTAATTAGAAATATTTTATAGTGTTTCCTGCGGATCACGCCGAGTATGAGAGTCACTCTTTACCGGTGATGAGCGAGATGACTGACTGGTAGTATAACTCGAGGTATATATATTGATTTGAGCTAGGACGCACTGGTACTAGTCGTGTAAGCTTATTGCATCTACTAACTTCCTACCTCATAATTTAGTTGTCGGTGTTGTTAATGACTTCCAAATTGCATGAAGACGGGTTAAAGGGGGTGAATATGCAGGTAGGTATTTCCTGGTAGGTTGCATGGTAGGACTTCAAATTAGCCCGATCGCATTCGATTTGACATTTACATATTTAGAACATGCGTAATGATTATTTGCAGGGTATTGAATGGACTAGACTACCTAAGACTAACAGGTAACTATGTAAGACCGGGGTCGGGGAGCCTTAGAACACCGAAACTACCCACACCCGCGTCGTTGTTCTTCCCGTATATACGCCGTATTTGGAGAAGTTTATAGGATCCGCGATTGGTCTAGGCTTCGGTTAGATCTTGATGACACCCGGCCTCGCGTATTAGCGTAGGGCGGCCCTGGGTAAGGCAGAATTGAAGATTTATAGAATCCCGTACCTGGTTGATCATTTCAATATACCTCTTTTTTAATTCGACAGCTTCCCCAAAAGCGGGTTCCGCCCCGACCCTATTACATAGGTATACATATATACATACATAGTACATAGGACTCGCCTTTGACGTGCGTTTTTAAACCTTGTCGAGAAGGCAACGGAAAAGTTATTAGTTGCCTGTTTCATCTCGGTTGGGTTCATTAGCTCAGTCCTTGGCAAACCCATCCATCGCATCCAGGCTACATAACCACGTCTTACATAAAGTCCTACATATCTACGATTCGTTTCCATATGGTTTTAACGACTTTACGTGTACCTATGTAAGGGTATCTGTCCATCTATCTGGTTGATTTGCTATATGGCAAGTTGTTCGTTATGGGGAATGAAGCAACAGACCCGAAGGCGACTTTAGAGTCTGCCATCGACGAGAAGATGGCGCCGCCGACTGCGTCTACTGATAATGCGATTACTACGGAAGAAGAGAAAGCAAGACGCGATGCTAAGCTCCGGCCGGAAAGGGAGGCTGTTTTTAGCGACTACATTGTTTGTGCCTCGCCAAGTATCACGACATATCTGTATATTGCTGACACCGGTTTAGAGGATCTTTAAATATGCTACCTTTTGGGATTTCGTTCTCATGGTTGCTGCAGTTATAGCAGCCGGAGGATCAGGTGTCGTACGTATAAATCTTATGACTAGACTTTGAGTATACCAAGTAGACTAATAGTTTGTCTAAATTAAAGACCCTCCCACTGATGAACGTTGTGTTCGGTAAGACTTCTTTATGCCCAGGCATAAACAGGTAGAATTTCGCTGTAGATACTTATTAGTCTAATAGGTGCACTTGTCGGCGACTTCAATGGTTACTTTCTCCCTGTTCCTACGCAAACAGAGGCTCAATTCCGGGCCTCTCTTAACAGGAATGCGTAAGTCTACGATGTGATTCTATGGGCTAGCCGCTGATACTATATACAAGATTATACATCTTCATTCTATTTATTGCGAGATTCGTTCTCACGTATATTAACAAGGTATATTGATATTCAGCACTTGCCGTATAGAATGTCTGCTCACAGCCATAGTTTGCCTACCGGCTAATTGGTATTCGGATGTCTGCAGCTATCAGACTTGATTATCTTCGCTGTCTGTTCAGCCAAACGATTCACGTCCTAGACTCGATGCCCCCTGGTGCTGCAGCAGGGACGATCACAACGACGGCGAATACGCTTCAGCTGGGCGTTTCGGAGAAGCTTGGCGTCTTCGTCGAATTCGTTGTCATGATAATTGCTGCCACGATCATCGCATTCGTCTACAACTGGGCTCTTGCTCTGGTGACATGCTCTGTTCTTCTATTTATCCTCATCGTCATAAGTATTATCATCCCATTCTATGTCAAGGGGACGACCAAAGTCACCAGGGCGGAGACCAAATCGTCTTCGGTAGCGAACGAGGCCTTCTCGGCTATCCGTATGGTGGTTGCGTGCGGTGCCGAGTCCCAAGTTGCTAAGCGTTTCGCTGCTTGGGCTCAACAAGGACAGAAGCATGGCCAAAGGATTTCGCCCCTTATCGGCATGCAGATGTGTTTGGTTTTCTTCGCATTTAACGCCGCATTTGGGCTTGCGTTCTGGTACGGATCCAGGTCATTTGTCGAGGGCCGACTCAATAATGTAGGTACCATCGTCGTGGTGCTTATGTCGGTCATGATGATGATTATTTCCATCGAACGAATTTCGACGCCACTCATCGCAATGGGTAAGGCTACGGTGGCTGCCTGTGAATTTTTTACCGTCATAGATGCCCCTCGACCGAACACCGGCGAACTTAAGGAACCCGATGTTTCAGCGAGCAGCGATATTGTCTTCAAGGACGTGGATTTTGCGTACCCGAGTCGACCGCATGTCAAAGTCTTAGACCAACTTAACCTTCGAATCGAAGCAGGGAAACTTACGGCTATTGTTGGACCTTCTGGGTCTGGTAAAAGTACTATAGTCGGCCTGATCGAACGATGGTATACTCTACATGACCAATACATCATTGCGAAGGCTATCGAAAAAGACCCGGCAAAGGAGGCAGCGAAGAAGGGTAAGGGAAAGAAGAAAAGCCAAGACGATTCTGACGACGAAACCCCCGCTGCTGAAGTCGAAGACACTGGTCCGGCCGTAGAATTAAAGGGATCGATAGCTACCTGTAACCACGAGTTAGAGGAGATCAACCTAAAGTGGTGGCGGTCCCAGATCGGGCTTGTGCAACAAGAGCCATTCTTGTTCAACGACACCATCTATAAGAATGTTGCGTACGGTTTGATAGGTTCGGAATTCCAAAACGAGCCCGAAGAACGGAAACGAGAGCTGGTAAAAGAGGCGTGTAAAGAGGCCTTCGCTGACGAGTTTATCGACCGACTTCCGGACGGATACGAGACTCTTGTCGGTGAAAGCGGCACGAAGCTATCAGGTGGCCAGCGCCAAAGAATATGCATAGCTCGAGCCGTCATTAAAAGACCTAAAATCCTCATTCTTGACGAAGCCACGTCCGCGATCGATGTCCGAGGCGAACGTATTGTGCAGGCAGCGCTCGACAAGGTATCGCAAGGCCGAACTACCATTACTATCGCCCACAGACTCTCGACGATTAAGAAGGCTGATACGATTGTCGTTTTGCAAAAAGGAAAGGTTGCTGAGCAGGGGACTCATGAATCCCTCCTAGAGAATGACAAGGGTGTTTACTATGGTCTCGTCCACGCCCAACAGCTTTCGCTAGGAGAACACACCGATGCAGATGATTCTGAGGGCCCGGAGGAAGAGGACCTAGGAGCGATTCTTAGCCGCGAAAAGAGTGCTGCGTTCTCTGAAGCTGCAGACGCGCCCAAGGCAGCTCAGTGGAAGAGGAAAGGTCTATTTGGAAGCTTTGGAAGATTACTGTACGAGCAGCGAACCCGTTTCCCCTTCTATGCAGTTATCATCGTGGCATCCATGTGCACAGGGAGTAAGTTAGGACGATCAAAGATCGTGAAAGAACTTGAGCTAACAAGTAATATCAGCATCGACTCCTCTACAAGCGTACCTCTTTGGAAAAATCGTTGTTGTCTTTGCTTACATGGACGACATCCCCAAGTTCACAGCCGAAGCAAACTTCTGGTCCTTGATGTGGGTGATTCTTGGCATAGGTACAGGCGTGGCATACTTCGTCCTGGCATATACGTCAAATCACCTTGCTCACGTAGGTATCCCCGCCATATTAGACTGTCTATATGCTAAAGTTGCAAATCTAGTACATCTCCGCAACATACCGACAGCAGTATTTTGAGAGTATCTTGTATCAAAAGACATCGTTCTTCGACGAAGAGCAGAACTCAACGGGTTCGCTTACGGCTCGAGTCGGGAGTGACCCGAAGCAACTGGAGGAACTTCTTGGTTTAAATATGGCTATGGTTTATAATTCGTGAGTATCCTTTCATTTGGGTTCTGCATTTATCTTTTTACTAACACGGGCTATATAGATTCTTCACTCTCATCGGCTGTCTAGCTATAGCCTTTGCCTTCGGCTGGAAACTCGCCATTGTCGCGACATGCGTCACGATGCCTATAGGACTTGCAGCAGGATATCTTCGCCTTAAATACGAGATCGAATTCGAGAGCCTGTACGCGGAAGTTTTTGCCGAGTCGTCCAAGTTCGCTGCCGAGGCCATCTCGGCTTTCCGAACCGTTTCTTCCCTTACCCTCGAAGACACCATTGGCAACCGTTACGAGAACTTGCTTAGCCATCATGTCGTCCAGGCTTACAAGAAGGCGAGGCTGAGAACTTTCGTGTTTGCCTTCTCGGAGAGTATCGGTTTAGGTTGCCAGGCTCTCATCTTCTGGTATGGCGGCACCCTTCTGGCTTCGCGAGAGTATAATACTTTGGACTTCTTGATCTGTTATATGGCGGGTAAGTGAGAGTTAATTTTTACTTGGGTGGCCTTGGGTGTCTCTATACATAGAGTGCCTAGGATATGCCAGAAAACCCCCATATTACTCCTAAGGAAACATTATACTAACTACAATCCGTTAATTAGTTATCCAAGGAGCCGAGTCGGCCGGTCAAGGCTTCGGCTTCGGCCCCAACGCCGCGCAAGCCTCAGCAGCCGCCAACCGTATCCTAAGCATCCGCGAGACCCGCAACAAAGACCTGGGCGACAAGAGCACTAACATCCCCGACACACAAGGCGGCATCAAGATCGAGCTCAAGGACGTACACTTCAAATATCCCACGCGCAACGTCTCCATCTTCAAGGGCCTCAACATCACGATCGAGAAGGGCCAATTCGCAGCCCTAGTCGGTGCCTCCGGCTGCGGCAAGACGAGTATCATCTCCCTTCTCGAGCGCTTCTACGATCTTCAGCGCGGACAGATCCTGGCGAACGGCACAGACATTGCACAAATCAACGTATATGACTACCGAAGGCACTTATCGTTAGTGGCTCAGGAACCGACGTTGTTCCAGGGCACACTACGCGATAACATTCTACTAGGCGCTGATGTAGCGGACGTTAGTGAAGAAGAACTGCATGCGGCGTGTCGCGACGCGAGTATCCACGAGTTCATCATGTCACTGCCCGAGGGCTATAACACTGAGGTCGGTAGTCGTGGTGTTTCATTATCCGGTGGCCAGAAGCAGCGTGTTGCGATTGCCCGCGCTCTGGTCAGGAAGCCCGAAGTGCTACTTCTCGACGAAGCTACAAGCAGTCTCGACTCCGAGAGCGAGAAGCTTGTCCAGGGCGCGTTTGAGCGAGCCGCTACGGGGCGCACTATGGTGGTTGTTGCGCACCGGCTGGCTACGGTGCAGAATGCCGATATTATTTTCGTTCTAGGCGAGGGCAAGGTGTTGGAGAAGGGATCGCATAACGAGTTGTTGAAGAAGAGGGGTGTTTACTGGAATATGGTGAGTCGTCCCTCCAACCCCCTTTTCCTCGAGGATAATTGAACAATTGCTAATCTTACTTCGTCTTTAGTGTCAGAGCCAGGCCCTCGATAGGTAAAGGGAAGAAGACGTCGGGTATAATGAGGATGAGCATACGTAATAGATAGTACATATGTTGGATATAACCATAGGGACTGGATAACGGCTGTTAAAATGGACAGCATATACATGCAGCATTATCTCGTCTAGGTTGGTTGGCATACACGACTTTTAGAAATACCCTTTCAGCTCTGGTCTTTTGTATAATACGAAGTCAACTCAGTATAAACGGAGCATATGATATAGATTTAGTCTTGACCAAGTCGAACATCACAATGAAAAATCTGTCTCTATCTTCCTATGATCTTTGTGAGGATGTCGCAACGAAAATATAGCTCAAGTCTCTCCTCTACCTACGGTACCTATCTAACTTGTATTTATATTAGATACCTACCTAGGTACGTAACTACCAACCCAGTCCGCTTTTCAAAGAAGGTAGACCCAACAAGTAGAGAGCGGTCCGAGGTGGGGTGCAGCAGCAGTTCGGGGAGGGAACCTGGCATCTAGTTCGTACCTAGGTACTCTCAATATTCCCACGTAGGTACCTAGACATATAAAATAAAATAGCAAAGCAGCTGGCAGCCGACCCCGCAAAAAGGCTCTTTGGCCTGGGTGACATGAGGCTAGAGAAAACGGACGAGGGGAGGAGGTGAATCGTTGGGTCGGGCACGTGTTTCCGATATCCATGGCGCCAGGTCCCACGAAGCAGTTTTTCGGCGGTCCTGGGTTCGATTCCAGTTCCGTGCTTTTTTTGGTATTTTATTTTATTATCCCTTTCGGTGTTAATTATTGGTTGTCTATTCCTATCCCCTTACCCCTTTTATTCATCGCTCTTAATCACGTGATCATCTACGTTGGACGCAATTCAACAGTGTCGTCTACAACAGACTGTTTCTTTAATAGGAGGTACTTAACATGTAAGATGAAATAGTTAAGTCATATATTTATGAGATGTTACTTGATTCGACGAGCACGGTGATATGAAGGGTTTCGGATTCTTTTGTCCTTGTGACTTTCGTAAGATCCTAGCTATTTACAAGCAACTAAATTAACAATATGCAGCGATATTAGTAGCAATATATCAAGGCTTTCAAGATATTGGGACCCCTTCCTCTATGCGAACTTCAAGCCACCTAGGTGTCTCCTTTGGTCCGCTGGTGGAGTTGATGATAGCTACTTAGTTTTTGAGTTGGAAACTGTTTTTACGTTGGCAACTTTTGCTGACTGAGCGGCGGCTTCTTTGCGACCGGCATAGATTGCATCTATCAACATGGCCATATGGTCACAGTCATCTCGTAGAGAGTCAATCCGGTTTTTGATCTTCTCTTCGCAAGCTGTTCGTTTCTCGAGCGCTGCTATTAACCGCTGAAGTTGCTGCTCATTATGGTTGGACCTAAGGTATGTGTTAGTGCGCTTATATATTTCTATTCGAAAAGATGAGATATGAATAATCTTACATTTTCAGTGTCTCATCATGATAATGCTTCTTAATCTTATTCTTTAGACCGGCTAACTTTTCAGTATAATCCTTGTCAATGCCCTTCTGGATCTCGGCCCGCTTCGATTTCCATCTGTCCTATATAGATTGGGAAAGACGTTAGCATCGTGTATCTTGTGGTTAGACTATATTGAGTAACACTTGATCACGACAAATCATCCTGATGAATAGTAGATAGGCATACGATGCTTTCCATAGCCTGCGGTACGCTTGTGTTTGGTGTATAGTTGAAGCTGAAATTCAACTCAACATCGGAGCCTGAATCGGCTTCAGTTGGGGTAGGTTCTTTGCGACGAGAAGGCATTGTTAGATGTAGTTTCTAATCTAATTGGCCTATTATATGGACTGGATTGAATGCACAGGAATAGTATCAATGGGAATTCTAGAAATTGGCTAGTGTGATCTTGGTTGACTGGAATCACGTTCTTATTCAGGTTGATGCCAAGGACGTTATTTGAAGTAAATGTTAAGTATTTCATTTTCACTAAATCTTAATAATTTTTTGTAATTTTGAAACTTGATGTCTGGAGCAATGGCAGTTCTGTACATATCGTACTTGCCCTCCTGAATATGTACCCCTTTTATTACATAATCATATGACTGCCGTTAAAATATTGTAATTTCAATTCCGAGGAATTGCCGCTTATCAGGCTTATCAACCAAAAAATAATTGAAAGCCAGACCCCCACTGAAATTCGGCCTTCTCAATTCCGCATACGGTGTTTGACTTGCGATCGCGACGAGGTCAATTCAAGTCATAATGGGTCTTGCAGGTCCTAGGAAGTACGAAAGCTCTTATACATATCCTGATTTTAATATTTACTAATTCGTATGCTTCTGTAGCCGGCGAAAGCTCCAGCATGATCCGAATAATACGAAATGGAGCCGTGACGAGACGACCTTCGGTCAGAAGATTCTGCGAGCACATGGTTGGGAGCCGGGGAAGTTTCTAGGGGCGCAAAATGCCTCTCACTCTCATTTACACACGGCCGCGAGCGCCGCGCCTATCAATGTCCTCTTAAAAGACGATACCATGGGTTTAGGAGCGAAGCCCCGGCACAAACAAAACACCGAATGCACTGGCCTCGATGTCTTCAAAGATCTCCTCGGTAGACTGAACGGGAAGTCCGAAGAGGTAATTGAGAAAGAGAAGAGGGTGAAGTCAGAAGTTAAGACTTGCTTGTACGTAGAGAGGAAATACGGCTCTATGAGATTTGTCAGTGGAGGCCTCTTGGTTGGAGACCAGATGGCGGGATTGACCAGTACGACCACCAAAGCTGAAACTCCCACGGAGGATGTGAAGGATGAGGATATCAAGGAGGAATCAACCACCTTGTTGGAAGACGTTCCTGATCGTCCCGTGAAGAAACAGAAGAAGGAAAAGAAATCCAAGAAAAGGAAAGCGGAGGACGTCGACTCTACGGATGAGACTGACGCCGTCTCCGAAAAGAAGCGAAAGAAGCAGTCAAAGGACGACGCCCCGCAGGATGACTTGGCCAGAACGGTAGAAGCTGAAAGCTCTAGCAAAAAGAAGAAATCCAAGAAGTCTAAGCGGAATGATACAGAAGGACCAGAGCTACTCGAGTCGGAGAAAAAGAAGAAGAGCAAAAAACCAAAGAAGGATGCTGGGCGCGAGACTGAGAACGATGACTCGCCTATTCTATCAGAAGAGACCGGGACAGAAAAGTCTAAATCAAAGAAAGAGAAGAAAGAGAAGCATAAGAAGGATAAGAAGCAAAAACAGTCGAATTCGTCAACGGATGTATCTACTTTAGCAGACACTCCAACTCCTACGTTCAGCGCTACCCCTCAAGAGAGTGGCACGTCGACACCTATTGAGACGGGCACTTCAACCCCTCGACCACTTTCTGGACGGCATTTGGCTCGATCCCGCCACATTGCATCGAAACGGATGGCTATAGCCGATTTGCAAGCAATGAATCAAGTAAGTATTCAGATGGAGATTTGTTTTGTGTTGCTAAATGCTAATCATTGGGATAGATTTTCATGGTGAAACCGGTTTGATATATAATATTAGCGATTTGATTAATCGGGGTGTTTGTATAAGAGCGCTTGGGCTTTGATACCCGTAGATATGATCCAATATAAGTCTCGATCCAAAATCGAGAAGAGTAATGAAGCTTTAAGTGGGCCTTAATATGTAGTAAAGAGACCAACTGCGCAACTAAGTCTCCTGTGAGCTACCGTAGATAAAGATTACCTGGTATTCATATGTAGGAAAATAACTACATATTTTCTAGTAGTGAATAAACTTCGTATTAATATCGTGTTACATGGTGGAAGTAATAGAGAGAGCATCTTGTCTCTACATGGCTAGGCTTGGCTTGGGCTTGCATATCCGGGGTCTTGTGGCAGGGTTAAGTTAGGCCCAATTCATCTTACCGCATCGTGCGATGCTTACCTCTCATAATGCATTTTAAAAATACCCCTGTTCTCGTTATATCTGAAAATACTACCTATGCCATTACGTCAATGAGACCCTGGTAATTCTTTCGTCTAAATCAATATACGTGAAGAATTGTTTATATATTTTCATCTCACGATCATATAAAACATGACGGATGAGAGACCGAGCCCATTGCGTCGGGCTGGCTCATTTCCGCCCCAAGATCAACTGCATTCTTCACAGCAACCTGGGAATGACTCTTTACAGCAATTCTCTGATGATGTACGACATGTTCCGCCTCAGGGTCGGGATCGCGTCCGCTTCGTAGCCGAACCCGAGGAGCTCGGTCCGGTGAGTATCACTTATGAGAGAGGAACTTTAGGCCTTAGTTAACACACCTATAGTATGAATTTGTCACCGATAATCGACATGGGCATACGCCAGTCCTCTTGCCCATTTCTCGTACAGGGAGAGATTATGTCAATCCACAATATGTATATGCTCAGCCAATGCCAGTGAATTCGGCACCGTACTCTCGATTTAATGTACCAGAGGCTATAGCGCCTTATACCACGCCGCGGCTGGGTCGAGATCGTCGTGGCCGCCGCTCTACTACGGACTCATATCTCTCAGATCGTAGCCAGTCTTATATGCCAACGAGGAGTGAACGCGGAAGAGTCAGGTTTGCCGAACCAGAGAATCTACCGCACCGTTTATATTCTCACTCTTCATCGCCGTCGCCGCCTTCGCTACCTTCAAGGTACCCAAGTGTCTATACGGAGGATGAATCTGAGAGTTCAGATTCAGAAGCCTCTCGTAATCGGTCTCGTTCGAGGTCAAGGCATAGCCGATACCAGAGCTCATACACGAACGACTCGGATTCGGACGAAGAAGGCTTTGATGAGCTCATGGGTGGCAAGGTATTTCAATTTGTCCCTTCGCGAACTTCCAAGGCACTTTCAAAAAGCGGCCATAGTATCGAAAGCGATATTTCATTCGAGAAGTCCGAGGATGGGGTCTCTGGAGCGAGGGATGAGCCAAGTGTTCCTAGGGCCACCGATGTTCTTCACATATATCAATCTCAATACACTGGGGACGCGGTCTCAGACGGAACACATACCGCAAAATTGACCGTAATACATGACCCTAAAAGGCAGCGACAGCCCCTCTTTAGATGGGTGTAAGTGGCTTAGGATTATAGATTGACAGTATACTAACGCGATTCAAGGCATCTGGAGCAACGTATGATGAATCTCGATGAGCTCTCCGTACGTTTAGCCAAATGAAGTCTTTCTCGCCACCTGTTAACCAAACCATTAGACCGAGATTGCACGAATCCCCGCCATTACCGACTCGGAACGCAACGGGTTCGCGAAGCTGCTTGCCGAAGTAAAGAAATCATCCGTCAAGGTTAGGCCTACGGCAAAAGGGAATAATGTGCGACACATGGACCCGAAGCCTATCCGCGTGACCATTCCTCCCGATGGGCGTACAAAAGGCCAGACCTCGAGGTTTGTAACTTGGCTATGCGTGCCGTACTTTTCGCTCGAGAAGTATTCGGGACTCTTGTCGGCTAGCACAGTCTCTTCTTTTCCAATCGAAACTTTACTACAATCGGAATATGCTCGCACTACGCAAGAGCGTGATATGCAACAGGCCGTCTGCAAGAATGGAGAGGTTCCCGATGGCCACTGCTTCCACATAGCACAGCTGTGGTGTATCGTGTTGGACAATAGTAAGTCTACACCGTCGGGAAACTATCTTGTATTTTGAGCTAATTACCGAAAAGCTCTGCTTATCACATGCGGTCGAATGCCAAGTTCCACTTTAAGAGGTGATATTATACGTATAGCTAACGAACCTTTGAAGGATTCTAATAGCAAAGGGAAGAAAATATACGTGTCTTACTATGACACTGTTCTTTGGGAGCTTCCATTGGAATCCTGCTCAACTTGGTTTGTAAGTTTTTTTTTTTAATCGAGTAATAGGATTGAAGTCAATCACTAAAACATTTAGGACTTCTCGATACACTTCCGCGAGTTCTGGCCACAAGCGATAAGGATCTATCATCGCGGCCGTGTCTTAACAGAAACTGATTGGCCACGTATGGTCAATATGGTGAAGAATGTGAATACTAGAGTCGTTCTTGACCTTCGTTTATGGCATGTCCCCCTTACGATTATTACAGATGAAGGATCGACTAACATGAAGGAAGGATACACCCGTCTCCTCCAGCTATTGGTGTTTTACAACCAATTAGAGAAGAAGTCAAAGGCGTCGAACGCAAAGAATCAGCGACAGAGAATACCGATAACAAGAACACAAAGGTTGAGAAATATCAGACTACTGACGACAAATTTCACGTATTCTCGTGGCTGGAAATGGCTGAAAGTGAGGACGACAGTGGAGAGCTGGATGTCGAAGCGCTGGTTACAAACCTCCAAGAAGCAGAAGATTACCTACTCAAGTCGACAAGTTTGAGGGATCGAAATGCATACCACAACTGCAATGTGTCTTCACAGAGCTCTGTCCACGCATATCTAAGAGGTAAAGGGTTGAGGATAGAAAAGACTGACGAAAATTCCGCGGAAAAGCGAGGGTACGAAACCAAAATCGATTTCTATAACGCGGCCGATATTATTTTCTCTTTCTTCCTCCCACAAGTATTAAGCGAAGACGCGCCGACAATAGGGAAGTTCTGGGGTGCGGTTGAGAGCTTAGTAGAGGTACGGTTTCTAGTTGGCCTTAAGCTACGGCGAAGTGATCTAACTGGGAACTAGATACCAGACGCAAGAGTCAATGAGGACAATCGAATTGAACGAGAAAGAGTATCACAACGGAATGCTAACATACACAATAACCTGCACCCGCTTAGATCTACTCTCAGAGGACTAACGAGAGTGATAAAATCATTCCAGGATATTCTATCCCACGCGCCAGCCTCTCTCCGAACTAAGGTAGAGGTGCCCGACGGTCTCGTCCGTGCTTGGTTACATTTGGTCATCGCCCTTATTCAGGCGTCACAAAACGACGAAGCTTGGAACGAAAACATAAACGTCGCGGAAGCTTTGATACGAAGAGGAATGGACGACATCAGTAAGTGAACAGTTAAGACCATTTCTATACCTATAAAACCTGTGCTAAGCTGTCGTCGTCGAAGTGGACGAATTGCCTACGGAGGACCTGCTCTCCAGCTCCGTAATCCAACCGATGGAACTCGTCACATTAATTAGTTTAAAGCTACTCCAAGACTCTACGGGGACGTATTCAAGTATTAATGATACATATTCTAATTATCTCAAAGGACTGGTAAGTCTCACTAATCCCCTAGATTTACATATTGATACGAAACAAGCTTAGGAGAATGATATCACCGCCAACACCTCCGATCGTTCGCATCAGTTCCGCATCACTCTTTTCAAGCAAGAGGTCGCCGTGATTCGTCGAGTGATTGCATCACAGTTGAACGTTGTAGACGGCATGACTGTGCCTCAGAAACCATATTGGGGCGACCAAACCCGTAGGGAGAGGGAGATGCTAGATAAGGAGCGTGAGAAATCAAAAGCCGAGGCTGCGAGGATGCGATCGCGATCCTATCAAAAACAAGGTGCAGCATACGTGGACAAGCTCGACGCGTACGAAAGTTATAGCCATAATTACCCCAGGAGCGTATCAGTCCTTCCCGGCTCTCACTTCACGCCAGCCGGTCACCCTGACGCCTTCTCCAAGCTGGTATCCACCGATCCTGGCGGGTTCAGGGAGCTCCTCGGCCGCGAGTGTAAGGCCTGGTTGGAGCGCAGGGACAGCGAATTCCTGGAGCTCGACGTCGAGGCGTCACGGCTCGAGATCATGGTAACGCTATGATGTACGGCCAATAACATAGAAGCGAATCGCTAACACTCCCCCCCGCAGAATGCCAACAAAATCGAAGTGACTAAGGATCGACAGGAAGCAGCGGTCTACGCCTTCACCATGGTCACCATTATCTTTTTGCCACTTAGTACCATCAGCTCTATCTTCGGTATGAACTCCAGCGACGTGCGCGACATGGACCTCGGACAGTGGGCGTATTGGGCGGCAGCCTTACCTACTACTATCGCGGTAATCATCATGGGTCTGTGGTGGATGGGCGAATTACATAACTTGATCGACTGGGTGAGAGGGCTCCCCTCTCGGTCGAACAGGAGCTATGCACGAGTGTCGCGCCCAGCTGCAAACGGCGTCATATATTACCCCCAGGGAGACTATCCTGGGAGAGACCCGCAACAGGTGATGAGACCATATAGCCGGGCGACTCTGGGCCCGCCAGTGCCGCGGACGTCATGGCGGTACTAAATGTAGTACCTAGTACTATAGTAGCAGCTTGGATAAGCTTGAATCCGTTTTTTTCTCTCCAGTTTGGGAAATTCTCCTATCTAGATCGGATTCGGATATCAAAATTCATGCAGCCACGTCGCGCAAATCCGCCTCACTTATTCCTGGGGTCAGGTGGCGCTGGTTGGTGGGTGGTTTGCTTTCGATAATGCCGTCGCAGATCCCTTACACCATGCAAGCCCTCACGCAAGCCCTCACGCAAGCCCTCAAGCCCCCAAGCCATCAAGTCCACACAATATACGGTAGAACATGTGCATGCAGCTTATGCAAGCTTCCTGCCCGTCGTGCATGCATCCATCATCCATCCCACGTCGGCGTGAGAAAGAGCAGCAGTAGCTTTTAGGTCGAGAATATGATCTCAAATCTGTCCTATCGCATCGTGCCACTTCGGCTCGTAGCCTACCTATGGAAGACCGATTTGTCAATGGACCAGTAGCACAAGGAATCTGCCAGTAACTAATATCATATAGTGCGAATATATGATTGGATAAAGAATTCCCCCTCTCGGAAAGGAACCCCCAAGTCTTTAGCTCGAACTTTTGTTGGGGGGGACCGGCTGTGAGCTGTCCAACTCAGCCCGCAAAGGCGTCATGCAGGCTCCTGCCTCGTCGGGAGTCGAGAACTTAGGGACTTAGGGACTTAGCTTAGGGGTCCTTTCGTTTCCCCCATCCTCCCCGCTTCTTCCCCCCCCCCCAATCTTCAGCCTCTCGAGCCGTTCTGCGGGAAGCGGGAACGTTCCACCCGGTTCTAGGGAAAAATAAAATGGGCTATTCGCGGCTAATGCTGTCGAAAGACGTCGACGATGCGGTCAGAGCGCACCCGGCACTGCGAAACTAAGCTGCGATATGGGGGGGACAATACTACATAGCTTACATTTGCTACGTCATTAGATCTTGATCCTTTGCACCGGTAGTGTGATATCTTATAACCCTACTTTGTTTTGTATGGCTGGTTCGCATTGTAAATAAGTTGCTGCATCGATATGCGAATAATAATATTGTGGGTTGTGGGTTGTGTTTAATCGTATAACTAACTATACCTTAACCTAGGTTAGACAGTTTATAGGCTTAAGCTTATACTTGCAATATGCTAAAGAAGAAAAAAAAAAGTAATGTGTTGCATTTTATAACAACATTTTTCTTACACACTTGATAAAGATAAAAAAAAAAAAAAGGTCCATATAGGTAATCGGCTGTAGTTAATTTAAAACTTGTATACTCGGCCCGTGTAACAACATGTATAACATGTGTAACAGGAGATCTCGGAGTTTCCCATAATTCGTTTTGTGTCTAAAACCTGCGTTCTTGCGTTACTGCATGACATAATCTTATTAATAGTACGTCACGCGATTTTGTTGTCATCTCAGCAGATAAAATGTTTCAAATTAGATTGATTGGTGTAAATTTACGTACACTTTGGAACTTGACATAGGTATATGTAATCGCGTTGTTGCTCCTTTAGGATAGCTTTGGAAATATGATCCACACATTGATTTTTTCACGAATGGAATTAGACGATTATTACGGGTGAGCTAAAGGAAAGATGATTTGCAAAGTCTTTGAAGTGTTGGTAAGTATGATTTTTATTGAACGATTTTGAAGTAACTATAGGTAGTTTAACTAGACTATATCACTCTAACTTGATTCTATCAACAATTGTTTAGATAAGTTAACGCTAATACTTTCTAAGTAGGTAGTTAAGAAAATGTTAATATTACAAACTATTACAAACTAATAAACATGCTTTATTCAACTTTGCATATGACCTTTTTTTGACGACATTCTTTCATCCCTCGCCTCCTAGCCGTTATCTAAGATCAATAAAATAGGGCGACCAATATATTGTCTTTAACATAGCATCATACGTACCCTTGAAATCGATCTTCAGGACTTTTTTTTCGGTGAGCATAAAGTACATTTTACATATCGGAAAAGCCTCAAGTGTCATTCATATCCCGGGTTCACACTTACGTGTTGGCGTGAGGCGCCATGCATGGTGAGGCTTGCCAATTCATTCTAGCATCCATATTATTGATATCTTGTCAGATTCCCAGTGCGGTCAATTGCTTGTCTGGTTTCTCGAATACGAATATCTCGAACTAAGTTCCAGGACGGCCTTTGCCGATCAACTAGGCACTACGAGGAATATACCCATAAACACTGTTCTCGAAATCTGGAATCGCCATGCTATTACTCGTTCGCCTTACAATGGAACCTGTACGTAAACTTTAGACTCGTAGGAATATTCCCGAAGCTATCTATGTATGTCAATCCACTGCGGGTTGCTGCAATCGATCAAAGAAATCGGCAAGACGAAAAAGATCGCCACTCCACATCTCTAGACTTGAGCTGTTATTATTAGCTGTCATAACGAGGAACATCAGATTTAATATACACTTTGGGAGCCACTTACCACATTTTCTCTAGAGTAATTACGCGTAAGAGTTCCGACTGTCAAAATGTGGACTATTGATATATCCTAAAAAGAAAAATTATGCATTATGCATGCAGGGCAAAAAAAAAAAACACGGATGTGTGTTGTTGTGTACCTGATCATGTCACAAATAAGGTTATATCGAAAATATATTGTGTGTTGTTGATCTTTCCTCTCTACATGATAGGGCCAAGTTGGCGTTCATCCATATGTTCGATATTCCGTTAAGGGAAAGTATTGAAAGGGGTCTACCGAGAAAGACATGTGTAAGGTCGCATAGGACAGCGAATAAGGTCGTATATGAGTTAAAGATAGATATGATATAAATGGTAATTCCGAGAAAACAGGAGCAAGGCAGTTGTGTAGAGTAATATAGAAGCTGATAGGTCAGGTTTTGGTCGATTGATGAACCCCACCACACCTTTAACTCTTTAACACAAACTGCAAGTTAATATCAACCAATGTAAGCCATTGTAGACGTGCCCATGATACCATGCAGCCCATGATACACCCTTGCAAAAGACCCCTTGCAAGACTGCAAGACTGCAAGACTGATGAGATTTTACATACATCCTGACCCTACCTGACCCTACTTGACCGTGGTTTTACAAGTTATGGGAATACAAGATTGTGGCAAAGGTTTCGGAGCCCAAGCAAGCCAAGGTCACGCTGTCGCCACAGGATGAGCGTTGGGCTCGTGTTAGTGTGCTACTGACGCTACCGACGCTACTGACACAACCGCGCGCCGAGAATGGGAAGTCTTTAATCATTTTTTTTTTTTTCGAATATTTAACTTTGTGTCAGTTCCTGTCTTCGGTTCGTTTTTAATTTTCGTGTATTCTCTACTCTTTAAGAGGTGATAGTTGGGTGAAACCTATTTTATTGGAATAACTTCTAGAACTTATTATTATTCTTATCTACCTATTTATGGTTTATTCAATGTGGTAAAAAAAAAAAGAAAGGAACTCGTCGCACAAATTCGCATATATACGGCGCTTGTACAAATATCGTCGTACCGTTGTACCTACTACACTACAGTCCTACAGTCGTACTTTAACCCTACGGAATTACCGTTTTCCAAGCTTTTCTTTTTCAGCAGCAAAAGCAGCCGAGCCACTTAACTCACTGCCCCCACACTTTGCGCACTGCCCACTGCCCACTGCATAGGTGCCTCATAGCCGAAAAAAGACCCAATTACACGGGACCTTCCCTGTCGTATTAGAGCTCTGAACGTTCTGGGCCCTGCAGCCAACTGCCTTATCGGCTTTATCGATAGAAGTAGCGGCCTTTCAGACGATCGAAAATCCGGTTTAGATAACCGTAGAACTATCCGTGACGTCCCCCCAGCGTTCGTGAGTTCGTGACGTCGTGACGTAAGCGGCATCGCGATTCCGGTTATTCTCCCCCCATCGTCGCTTTCCATATCTAGATCCGAATCCCCATCATGTGGTTCTACACTTCAACAGGTTAGCTTTTTCTCCCTTTACATACACTCTCGACCACCTATAATTATCAATTCAACATAACCTCCCATTTATTCATTTGGTTGCGAGGATAATCCTCTATATACTATTTGTCTCTATCATATCCAATAATATACTATCAATCGTCAATTGCCATATATATATCAATAAGTCTAACATGGCTACCTACTACGCAGCTCCCCGCGAGAAGCGTTATCACAAGTATAAGAAGGTTCTTTACTTAGAACCTCCCACCAATGGTAGCAAAACCGTTCGCACTCGCGTTACCACCATTGTCCCTCCCCCTGAGCCCGAGCCCGAGTTTGTACACTGTCCGTCACCCGCTCCAGCTCTCCCAGAGCCCAGGTATACGCCGCCACCGGTAATCGTCGAACCTCTACCGCCGCCGCCTCCTCCACCTGCACCTGTACACTACTATCCTCAACCTGAACCTGTACATTACTATCCTCAGCCTGAGCCTGAGCCTGTACGTGAACCCGAGCCGGACGTCGGGATTGAGGTCATCGCAGTAGACGTAGACCCAGATCAATCTAGCAGATCCGGCAGGTCCAGGACTTCGAGGAGTTCCAAGAGCTCGTCGCGAAGCTCTAAATCATCGTCGCGCAGCAGCGGCAGCGGCCACAGTAGACACGGCCGAGATCGCGAGGTCTACATCGAACGGGAACGCATGGTGCCCGTTCGCGTACCCGTGCCTTATCACGTACACCACGTCGAGTACGAGCAACCCCAGCAAGACTCGTTCCGTTACATAGAAGCACCCAGGCGGTATGAACCCCCACGACGACGGAGTCCAGACCACGAGATCGTCATCGAAGATCATCGTCACCGAAAATATATCCGCGACGGTTGAACACACAACACCCCTGTGATCTAGCTTGTACTATATATATACCTATATATTACGATAAATGTTTTATTTACCCCATGAGATATAGGCGGGAGTTTGGGTTAACGTTTTAAGATTGTCACGAGAGTACGAGTACGAAACCGTACGGAAGTCATGATTTGCGATTAGGAGTTTTTATTTTTATTTTATTCGGAACTTGAAGCCTCAGAGAGAGATCAGAGATGGGAGATGGGGAACTTGGAGTTTGAAAGTACGTTTTGAGTTCGCCTGTACACATTTACGGGGGACATACCGACTGCCGGCCAGGCAATTTCCTATACTAATACTTTATAATGTACACCACGGAGTAGTAGTACTGCCCCGGATTGTTTAATGTTATGTGGTAGTGGTACTGCCCATACAATTAGGACTAAGACTTAGAGTTTGCAGTCTTGAATATTCAACGTTAATATGAAATATTATTGAAATATAACACCAAGAGCTCTGATGCACTTAAGTGATGCCTAAGATTCCTGTATATTAGACTAATGAGGAAGGCCATTTTTATACACTGACTCTAATGGTATTAGTATTATAAGTAAGATATCAGAAGCAAAGGAGAAGTCTGTTTACCTAGGTGGTTATTGACCTCCCCAAGAGATGGAGTTGGAGTTCCTAGCGGAGCAACGAAGCTGTTCCCACCTCTTCTAGGTCCACTTCGCGATACAAGGTGAAAATTCCCACTTGCCCACCTAGGTGCACTACATATCAAGTCTCCAGCAAGGTGTTCACCGCCATATTCCCTATTCCCTATTCCCACCTTGGTCGGCCGGTCGGGCTGGGTCTTTTGAGTTGTACAAGAGGCAGGCTGGCGGTTGGCGGTTGGCTGCGTTGTACAAAGAAAATCAATAAGGTCCCGACCGTGGGAAATTCCCGACGGCTTGTAACACGAGGATTACAACAGATGTTGTAACGGCCAATCGCGGAGACCTCTTCGGAAGTGTCAAATCTGTATCTTGTATCTTGTATCTTGTAATAGATCATTTTCGCGGGAAATGCATTAGTACCCAAATTCGAAATTCAGTATTCCGGGGTAGATATCCCGGTGACAGGTATCTCGAAAAGCCTTATGGTCGATAGTTGTGCGTGTACTCTTTGTCAGGTACATATGTCATGAAATTGCATTTCCAATAGACATGTAAGGTACCTACCTCTACCTATCTTACATCAATGACCAGTCTTGCTTTAATTCTTGAAATGCGTCATGGGATGATGACAATGTAAAAGGGTAACTAACAAGACTAAATAAACCGTGATTGTTCTTTGCATACCTAATGTTTGTTGATTTATGCAACGGGTCAGTCTGATTGCGCTGGTGTTTACCAATAATAAGGAGAGGATAAGTTGGTTACATAAGCGGGAAATAGGGGTAAGCAGTCTAGGTAGTCATGAGCATCCCGTCAACATCCCGTCAACATCCCGTCAACATCACACATCTTAACTATCTACACGCAAAAAAGGCACTCATACGCACATATCTGCAACTATCCGCCAATAGATATTGTTATTCCATTGCCAAATCCGATGTAATTCTGATCTATTTAAGTGCATTTAACCCATCGTTCTTGCAAAAGTCATGGATAACCCACTTGTAACTATTCATACTATCCGACTTGTACCACTAACAGTAGTTTATATATATAACCAATATCATGATGCACATTTAGCACTTCTTTTTAGCTTTAATTCCAGATCATTAGCTACCTACACATCATCCATACTACTCATCAGACTCCATTCCCAATGAATGTTATTGTAGATTCGTCAGGCCATATTGCACGTCTTTGGAGTAGGTATTTATTCATGCCTTCCATCCCCCAACCCAAGAGATTATTTCCTACATTTCTTTCATCATTCTACCTTTCTTGGCTTCTCCTATCGAATCTCCAGACACAGTCAATTCCCCTTTTCACAAACCTATCTAAGTATCTCTTTTTAGCCCTTAGAGAAAGTTATCTCATCTATTTCTAACAAGAAAGGGGGTTAGATTCATAACACTCTGCCGGACGATCATCACACAGAAAGAAGTCTTGTCTTCACTAATACGAGCAAAGTCTCTCAAAGATTCATATTTCTATATCGCATGACAGAATCTTTTCCAAGAGACTAATCATCACTAGGACATCAAGCACGCCATCTTCTAATCGGCGGGCATATTAGTCCAAGACAATAACAGGAGAACCACGATTGAACAAAGCTACAATATACTAAAACACACACCATCACAATTCCTCAATATCAACCATGAGTGGGGTTTTATGTTTTCTTGATGAAAGAATCGAAATCTAATGAAAAGAAACAAAATACAATAATAGCAAGTCTCCAGAATCGACTGCTTAGGCCTTGTAACAAGAAGGCATCGGTCTTTCATCATCTAGGCCTCCCCTACCCTTAAACGCCTCATGAACTCCCCTCATAAGTTCATCCATTCATTAGGGTATCACAGGGTATCATAAACCATTTACCGTTATCCACCAACTCCTGAACATAAGAAATCCTAAACATAAGAAACCCTGAACATAAGAAAAGAAGAAAGACAAGGGAATGCCAGAAATGCGGCAAGTTCCCGAAATAACCCAAGGAAAACTCCTCCTCTCGCCGTCTAGTCGATATCAATGACTAGACTAGGTAGCATTCATGCCTGTCCGCCACTGTTAAAGTATCCCTCATAGTCATAGAGAGACATGTCGCCGACATCATCCTGGCCACCCAGTTCAGCTGAGCCCTGAGCTGTGTTCATCGGGGATAGTTCAGAGGGAGCTTCATGCTCGTCGTTGAGGTTTACAGCTCGGATTTGAGCTATCTCTCGACTTAGAGAGGACTCTCGAGCTGACGAGCCTTCCTGGGCGGACGGAGAGACCTGAGCCTGTAGCTGATCTTGAGTATGGCCCTGGGTGTGAGCAGAGGCAGGTCCAGGGTTCTGTCTGAACATAGAACCATGAAGTTGGCTCTGGACCTGGCTTGAGTAAGGAGGCAGAACCGGGGTAAGCTCCTGTGCAGGTGTCTCTTCTGTCTGGAATCCCTGCACACTTTGTCCGCCCTGCAAGATTTGCATCTCCAGTTGCGTAATTCGAGCCTGGAGAGCCGCATTGTCACTGGCTAGCATAGCAATGCTCTGGCCACGGTTCTCAATATCCATCTCGTAGATGTTGATTCTGGTATTGAGTTCCTGGGCCTGCTGAGCCAGTGCCATGTTCTGCTCTTGGAGCTTCTGCACATTACTTCTAGCATCTTGCAGGGCGTCCTCCTTCTTCTGGCGACTCTTACGAGCCGAGACCCTGTTCTGATCTCTGGTGTGATCAGCCTTGCACTTGGAGATTAACTCGTTTCTGATACGAGTCTGCTCCTTTCTCTCCTCAGACCACGAGTCCAGGATCTTCGTCTGCCGCATGCCTGGCCTCCACTGTAAGGTGGACGAGTCGGACATTGACATGTCTCCCTCCTTGTCGCTCCGTGCTACCCTCTTGCCCTGTCTCTTCGTGACCTTACGAGCAGAGTCCCGCTCTGGACCAGATGAACCAGGGGCCGAGCCGCTTCCAAAGGAATAATTGACCATGCCTGATTGACGCTGTGGCATTGGCGCTCTGGAATTGAGGCGATGGGTGGCGGCGGATACTTGCAAGGCCCTGCGGTCGGGTACCGGGGTAGACGTTGAGGCCTCACCAATTTGATATTGGTGAAGCATCCCTTGGCCTTGCGAGCCCAGTTGAATGCCAGTGTCAACCTCGTAGTCTATGAAAAGAATTAGCATATTCATACATTCCACTTCTCTTTATTGTTACTTACTGGTCTGGCGAGAGCCATATGCTAAGGCCAAGTTCATGTTGCCTGTCCAACGTCCCCGGCTCATAGAGGCACCAGTCATTGCCCTAAACATAGCCGGAGACGCAGGCGGCTGAGGGTCACGAACCATATGAGACATGGTGGGGATGTAGGTCGTGGTCGGCATTGGCGACATGGGGCTCGCCGACGACATTCCCGAAGCGGTTTCTTCTGGGTTTGTCATAGAAGACATGGCGTTGGCATTGTTGAATGCCATGCCGTTTGCCTGACCAGGTGACGAGCTGTCAGGAGCAAGGGGATTGAATTCAGAGATACTATATTATGTTAGCTCTTGTGTCTATAAAGGCTTTTATTAGGGTACTATAACTCACTCGTCTCCCTGCCAGTTAGAGTTGCCTTGGCTCATCTTGATAGAGCTTCTCAATGTAGTTCTGGGTAGACGTGAAAAGCGACGGATTATAGAGGAGTGCTGCAAGTTGTGATGTAATGTTAGATGTGTAATGATGGATATGTAGGGGAAAGGGGCAAGACTTTACATGAATTTATGTAGAGCGGTAGATAGGCCCTGGATAAAAAGAGTTAGTTAATTGTCGCGAAAGTATTGTGTTATGAGTCTTCAATGTCGCTCAAGTCTAGTCACTGTTGGACAATAGTTTGGATGAAGAGGTCATACCTAACAGACTCGTGACTACGAGTATTCTATTCAAGGTTAGAGACCATCCGATGTATAGAACAAACATTCAAGACGCGACTTGACTAAGAAAAGTTGTGGTAGGAAAGTAGCTTTGGGTAGGTGGAAGAGACTTACTAGAGGTTGGATTGATCCCTTGGATTAACCACGATGAATTGATATAACCTTCGATGATTGAAGGGTTATGTCGCGTCAAGGTATGTAGTAAGGGATAAGAAGTAAGAGGTAGTAGAGGTAGTAGAGGTAAGAGGTAAGAGGTAAAGTGTTATGTTATTCTTGTTCTGACTGTAGTGGTAGTAGAAGAAGAGTTTGATGATGAAGAAAGTTGGAAGTGAATTCTCAGATTGGTAGAAGAAGTGTAGGGTTATATAATTATTTTAGAGGCACCGTTTACTACCTTAGGAAGATTAGGAACGAAGGTACGAACTCGAATTCAGCTGTAGAGATGGTCCGTACCTTCCTGTCGTCCTTCGGTTGCTATACAACAGGACCGGCAACCAACGCTAAGGAAAAGAAAACTCTACAGTCACTCGCAGAGCACGGACGTAGTTTAGTAGTCTTATCAGTGTGTTCCTGCCATTAGAGGGTTAGAGGCGACAAACCTGTGAATGGGGCCATTTGTTAGCCCCCCTTTTTTCGGTGAATAAGTAGCAATCAACAGCTGCTATTCCACTAACCTACAGTCACATACAGTTATCTACAGTTACCTACAGATATTGACAGATGATTACAGTCCCATACAGTCCCATACAGTCACTTACTTTTCAACAATGACTTAAAGAGCAAGCACACATTCGCCATGCACAGACTGTCACTAGGTACCACAAATAAAAAAAACTTCAACCTCAGATGGTAATTATGGGGTACTCTAAGAATTGCTATGGCAGTTGCGATGAGCGACGCCAGTTGACAGACTTTTTGTTGAAACAAACTGCATTAGTGGCTAACCAAGTCGTGATGGACGACGCTTCCCTCTAGAACAGTGTACGAGTTACGTTGTTAGTAAACAACAAAGCTTTTAAAGAGCCTCATGTACTTAGGTACATATTCCCAAACTACGAAACTAATGTCGTAAAGAAGTAGGTACCTAAGTAACCATGGTTCGTATTTGCCATCTGCTCAACAATTTACATACAGTATCTTCGAAATATCGGTTGTTTACCTATGATATCACAGCTTAAGAATAAGCTAACAATGTTTACCCCGAGGTTTCTACTCTTCCTACATCCAATTCTACTGTGTCACTAGTTTTCTCCTTCGAAATATATCTCGATAACAAAAGACATACAGCAAACCTAAATCAAACACTACTGCTTCCTGAATTATATCCGAGGTCGATCCGAGGAAATAGGAACCGAAATAACACAAACAACCAAGAACGTATTAGGGACGGGTACTATTTGTTATTAGAATATATCTTGGAATAAGGGGCTCGTATCTACAATAGTGTTTATGATGCTAAAGGAATCTAGACATGTTATGTCCAATATGTTAGATCAGGTCCCTCCCCTCCCCCAAAGATATTGAAATAAACAAGTCGCGAGATTACAATTTGTCTTATTGCATATCAACCTAAACATATTACACACCTAATAATACGAATGTACAAAGCCCTATGTACGAACCTACATAAGACACAAATAGTTCAATGTCATAAATGGTGTGCTATCTGTTAATCTTGTGTTTCTTAGATCTTGGGTTTCCTTAAAGGAGATTCTCGTTTAGGGACTTGACGATAACCAGAAATAATGTCTATATATTTTTAGTCTATACCTAGTAGAAAGTCACGTGGAGGGATACTTTTCATGTAATAATGATAATAATCAAGCAAAACACATATATAATCACATCTCTAGAAATGAAAGAAAATAAAGGGGGGGTATGGGAGACAATTTATTGTATAGTAATATGAAGCTAATATCGTTCCAGAATTTGGAGCGATTGGAGTAGTTGGATTACAAGGTAGATTCTGTGAAACGAGACCCCTTTAACCAGCTGTTTCCGCCCTAGAACTATCCTTATTCCACTTCTCCTGACTGCCTAATCTGTTGCTTCCTCAGCCAACACATCTTCTTCCTCCTTGCCGCCTCTATACATCGGAGTCATATAAACTGTCTCGCCACCGGAGACGTTGGCAATCAGAGCCTCAGGGCCTGCGTAATAGCCCGAGTAGCAATAATCTACCGATTCTCCGCACTTATGGCAGGGATATGGTCTGCAGTAGCAACTTTAAAGACAATGATATTAGTTATTTGCTAATCTAGTAATATGGAATGATACAAACAGGATCAAAAAAAAAGAAATAAAAACTTACGTTATATTGTCGTCGTCGCTGTCGCTGACGTAGCCCTCCCCCAGAAATGTGAGGCATTTACAGTAGCTCTTTCGGCCTTGCTTCTTGACCGGCTCTTGTAGACCATCATCCAAGGAGGGTTTGGCCTTGTTGCCACCCTTTAAACACTTGTTGCAAATGTGATAATTGGAGATAGGGGCGACGGCATTTGTGTTGCTATGCATAGTCCGGTCAGGTCTATTCTTTTCCGCTTGTCTTGCAACAAGCTCCAAGTAAAAGCTTTCGCTGATTTTTGAGGCCATGTACGACACGGAGGCGATAATTGTGTTGCAGCAACGAGAGGCAAATTCCTTGCGTTCATAAAATGAAATGAACATGCATTGGAAGCAGTCCTTGCAGTATTTGTGGGAACAAGCTGCCTCGTGCATGAAGTCAGGAGGGTAAGTGTCAAGACAGGTGTAGCACAACTCTGTGTTGTCGGTGTATGAAAAGTCTGATTGACTCATCTTGAAGGTCGCAGGCGTCAAAGATTGGAATGGAAGGTGGAAGTGAAAGAAAGGTCGGCGTCAGAATAGATTGAAAGTCAATCGTGCTTAAATAGAAGGTATTGGGACGCGATTGAAATAAAATCGAGTTGATAGAATAGTGTTTGGGCAGGATTCCCAAGTTCCGAATGGCGGTTGCGTTGCGAGGAGACGTAGAAAACTTTTGCCAGCTGATCTATATCCAACTCATGACGGAAGTTGGACATGCCAATTGACAATACTTTCATGACTTAGGTACCTTAGGCAAATAGGGAGAGAAAACTTTGTGATTGAGTTGATAAAGACTCTCCACCCTGTTGCTAGGACACGACTTGGACTAGGTACTTAGGTACGTCTACTACGAAGGGTCTGTCATGTCAGTTGTACATATTTTGAAAGCCTACAAGCTCTAGTTCGCAAGAAGAGTATTTACTGACTGCATGTGATTGTGAAATTGTTAACATCCTAAGGGGCACTAAAAGGACTAGCTAGAAATTTATACCTCCTAAGTTATTAACCATGTTAATTATAATTATAAAGTAGAAGCTGGTAGGCTATTCATACACTTGTTCGAGTTTGATAGTGCCATTCTATCATATAAAATATTAAGATGCTACCTTTTAATCCTTAACTATGCAATTGTAAAAATTCTCATAGAATCAAATAAAAAAAAAGCCTTCCTAATGGGGTATTATACTAAACATCTACCGGCCTGTCACAAGTTTCAGTTACTTGATGGAGAAATCGGAACCCTGTGGTCTTCTAGCACTATGAGAAAGAGAGAGACTAGAGATATTCCTTTGTCTAAAACAAACGAAACTAGAAAATAGCTGGTAGGTTTGGATAGTATTATAATAATAAAAATATTACGCAGCAAGTATCTTTTTCAAGTCTCCTCGTCTACCTAGGTAGCTAGTCATATAAGTAAACCATCACCTAGGTGGATATTCACGAAGCTCGAAACTCGCATACTCTCATAGGACATCTACCTAACAACTTAGTATTAAGTCTCAAACATAGAAGGTCCCTAATTCAAGCCTAGACAAAATCATTATTTTTACACTTTTCTGAGTTAATTAAGTGTGATCTAATACAGTATTGGCCGTCATAGCGATATAAGACTTTTAGAGGATATAAGTGGATGAGATATATACGTTCTCGTAGATTAATAGTCACTAACAAGTGAGAGACCAGGTATTAAGAGAACCAGAAACTAGCTAGGAACCACACTTATATAGGTGGACTTATAACTTTAAAGTCTTCTTTAGTATTACTAGTAAATAGTATATAGATAACCTAAATTAATAAGGAATCTTCATATAAAAACTATTTAACTAGGTATAGCCTATAAAGATAAAGCCTACTGCTGGCAGATAACAGCTAACCCGATTCCCTTAAAGAGACTTATCATCAAGAATCGCTTCCAGGAAGCCTTTTCAGCAATACGTAATTCAAGCCTCAACAAATTTCTTAGCTTGACGTAAGCTACAGCTACCCCGGGGCTAAGGAAAGCTTATGCTCAACCTAACCCCTGTCAAAAGGCGGTTGGCTTATGGGGTTGGTTGGATGCCGCGTGGAAAGCATGTGAATACCACGTTGACTTTTTAGGACTAGGTAAGTTCCGGTATATATACATACACTACATACTCTTACAGCCCTACTACCCCGGTGACTAAACTAGGCCCTGCCCTGCCCTGCCGTGATGGGACGAGGCACGTGGTCGTAGTGTGGGTGGGATGAATGAGGTCTACATACATACATATGTGCATAGATGAAACGAGACTAGATCTGGGGATGAGCATCTAGGGCTACCATGGACATGGAACGATCCATCGGCGTAATGCCTGCATGTATCCACATCAGTCGCTAAGTTAGATGTGACCCATCAAGTACCGCCGTGATGCTTTCACATGTTATACATATGCCCCAGAAGGCTTACCCTACCTAATGCAAGCTTCAAGGCCGACGAAGACAGGTACCTGCATAAACTGACAAGGTCTTTGGAATTCTACATATACCCTACTTGTATGCGCGTCATCTCTGGCTTAGATGAGTCTAATATGATGAACTGTAATATTATTTTTTTTGCCCGGCCTATCTTTACCCGAGATGTAATTGATAGAACTTTCGATATTTCTACCTTTTGTGTCGCCTCCCCAACTGCATTCCGAATTCGCAGCACTCCCTCCGAAGTTTTTCTACAGAGAATATACATCATGAACCAAAGAACATGCTCCAATACGCGAACACCATGCCATACCAGTCATTACAGAAAACAACCCCGATAGAAGAACGGGTTTAAAAGGTGGCAACGGCAATGGCTATGGATTGCGTTTCCGAGTGCGAGATGGAGACACTGATCTCCTTGACACCTGCCTTCTTGGCAGCATCTTGGGCATCACCGTGAAGCTATAATCAATTAGCGAGCTGGTATTTATGGGAACCATGCGTGGTTTACTTACGGAAACGATGGGAGCACCGGCTTCGTTAGGGAGAACCTCAATATCCTTTAGGGGAGCTCCTGCGCCCCTACTCTGGACGCCTAGACTCTTAAAGACTGCCTCCTTGGCGCTCCAGCGCCCGGCAAAGGAGCTCTGTGGACTTGGCGTCTTTTGGCAATATGCAATCTCCTTGTCCGTGAAGTTACGCTCGATGAAAGTGGGGTTTTCGATGTTAACAGCCGCGATGTCTTCTACATCAACACCGACCTTATTGTTCTTTCCTGTCTGAAGACTCTGGGCCAGGCTTTCCACCATTTCCTTCGTGCTCCTCGCCTTTATATTATGGGGCTTAGCAGCCCGCTGGGCAAAGTCGGCAGGGAAGATAAGCTCGGCAGTCTTGCCGTTCTCTGAGACTCTGGCATCGGGATTTAGGAGGACAGAGGAGAGCTGCTCCTCGGTGTACGGTGCGTGGTCCTTGGCTTGGAAGATGGCATTGTTGACGATACCGTTGTGCATATAGCGGTAGGCTTTCTTTTGACGAGCAATCACCTTCGCGGAATACTCGGCATATGTGTCCTTGTCTAGGGCCGCATATAGGTACCTTGGATGAACACCGATCGCCTGTGCACCCTTCTGACCAAAGCCGAAAGAAGTGAGCGAGAAGGCCTTTACACCATCGGTCTGGAGGCTTCGGCTGGGGTAGACGATTAGGTCGAATTTCTCCATGTCTTTATCGACGTTGTCGGCATTACGATTGCCAGGAACTAAACCACTGTTGAGAACTTGCAAGCAACCGTTGAACATCCAGGCTCCAGCAGGACCCTTGGGATGGCCAGTAAGGTACTTTTGGAAAATACCCAGAACGGCATTTCCCTTCTTTCGACCGAGGTGGCGCAATTGTTGGCAGATAACTGACGACTCGTTCTTGTCATTGGCTTTGGTTGATGTACCGTGGAAGGATGCCACATCCAGATCATCTATCGTCAGACCCCAAGTAGCAAGGGCGCCACGAAGAGGGGCGATTGTAGGATCTTGCTTCCAGAAATTATTTCCGAGACTTCGCAAGGCCTCCTTCTCTTGTCTCTCTGCTTCTTTCTCAATATGAACGGCGCGAGCCTGAGTGTACTCTTTCTCGTCGAATTCGTGACCTTGAGCCCGCATAGCTGCTGCCTCTTCATATAGATATTCTAGCTCAGACTCTTTCCAATTGCGAACCTGCTTCTTGCGAAGCTCAATCTGCCGACGACGGTACTTTAGGTCTAATAGAGGAGATGGGAACTTGCTAGGAGCCTCCCGAGCAGTGGTCAATAAACCTTGTCCAGGGGCTGGGACAGAACGTCCTATCTTGTCGCTTGCAGTGGTGGTAAGAGCAAGGATACCATAGATCGGTACACCCATATCAAGTGCTAATTTGGCTGTCATAATGATTTGGATACCGCAACCCTGAGATTCCATAAAGCCACTTCTGGTGGTGGTGGTCGGGCGCGACATTTCCTGTGGTGTGCGCCCGTGGGCGAACTCCTCAGCGCTGTTGCTCGTTGCCTTCATGTTGGCAAACTCATACGAACCTTCTTCGCCAAAGTCGTCAAAACCACCAACCAAGCAGATGCGTGCTTTGCCCTCCATGATGGCTTCGTAACCAACATCAACTGATTCGACTGCTGTAGCACAGGCTCCAACAGGGGTCTTGATAGGGCCGGAGGAAGATAACAGAAGCATGTTGACCCAGGCAGACATCGTGTTGATGAATGACTCCTGTAAAATATCCTTCTGGATGTCATGGTCCATCTTTCGCTTGGTATATATCCCATTAAGAGCGTTTATACCACCTTGACCTGAACCAACGCAGTTGCCGACTTCAGATACGTGGACATACTTGTAGAACTCGTACGGGTCAGTAATACCTGAGGCGAGGAGCGCTTCGGCGACAGAGACAAGCACAAATAATGTCACACGATCGACTTGGGAGATAATGTCGTCAGGCACACCATATTTCTTGGCATCCCAACCTGTGGGAATCTGTCCGGCAACGAGGCGGTCGAATTTGAGAGCCTTTGGAATCCAGAGGGTAGCACCCTTCCTGAGGCGAATGGTGTATTCGCCAGTCTCTGTAATCTCAAAAATCTCGCACTTTTCGCCATGTTGCCTCTTGAATTCCTCAGCTGTCTCTTTAGATCCCTCGAACGGTTCTAGATCTTCTTCGAGCTGGATTTCGTGTAGCATCATCTTCTTATTGGGATCATACCCATCGAAGAGCTCTGGCTCAATAAGACGTATGCCGGAGTGTTCGAAAATATACTTCTCGTACTTCTGCTTAACATCCTTGTCTTCGACTGGCTCGCCGGTCTTGGCGTCAACCCAACCGGAATAGGGCTGACCTTTGATGGGGCCGTTGTGGTTCTTGATCAAGCCCATAATCCACGCCATCTCGACGCAGCCCTCAAGTGAGAACTCGCCATAGGCTTCCATCTCCCAACGTGTTCTAGAGTTACCCCAGGGACCTATTTCAGAAAATCCAGTGACGACAACGACCTTCTCTAAGTCTACCATACCCTTCAAGCCGTCGTTGAAAGGTTGAATTTCTTTCTCCCAGTTCGGAAGTGGCGGGAAATCGAATTTGATATTGGCACGCGGTTCGATAATCTTCTTCTTGTATAGCGCTTCCGAGTTCTCGCCGTTTACGATCTTATTCTCAATAGATGTCTCTTTAGTGACCGCTCGGCGAACTTCACTCGTTTCCATAATATCCTTACGCAACCGAGTCATGGTATCATTTAGGTTGGGAATAAACTGGAGGCCGCCATTCAGATCTGCGAATACGGGTTCAATTTGACACAAGTCTACAATGTCAGGAGACATGAGACCGAGAAGGTTAAATGCCATCTCTTGCTGAGAGAATGTGCGTACACCGAACTGCTCGACGCCTTCGGCCACGATATTGTTGCCAGACATAAGACCCGTACCACGGGTCCAACCAATGACGGCGCCGCAAATAGTGAGATAGTTGGCCCAATCTTCCGAGTGCCAGCGGTTGAAAAGAGTCTCAAGGCCGAGTTTAGACTCTGAATAGAGACCGTCGCTGCCAAATGTACCGTGATTGGGAGACAGAGGGATCACGACTTGGGCGGGTCGAGTTTCAAAGCCACGCTCGGATTTCTGCGTCTTGACACAACCCAGGAGCCGGATGAGGTTTGTCAACATGATACGGTGAGCAAGTTCAGACTTAGAATCAATGCCATCGATTTGGCGGCCATTCTCAGATATCGCAGCGAATGGGACGATGTAATCGAGATCCCATCCGAGCCCGCTCTTAGCATCGTAGATATAGTTGACAAGTGCTTCTACATCCTGCTTGCTGCCTTGATTGAACGGGACAACAACCAGTTGAGACCCACGAGCGCCATACCTGGCGTACATTGCCTGGTAATACTCGGTCACTTGTCGCGAAAATCGACTGGTTGTTACAATGACTCTGGCACCTCCGCTGATAAGCCCCTGTAGGACTTCAGCACCAATCGAGCCGGCACCTGCTCCAGTCATGAGAACATATTTGTCCTGGTAAGTAACGCCAGATTTAGCAGCTTCCTCGAGGCAGTCTAGGTAGATGCCAGTCAGTCGTTTGCTATATTCCCATCCGTGCAAGTTGTGACGCTTTAAATGTAAGAACGGAATAGTTTCCATCTTGCCCTTGCCGTTTTGGCCATTGGCTTTCAAGGCGGCCTTTTTGAGCAACCCATTTGCTTTTCCGGTGTCCTTAGGTAAGATCTGGCTCTCATTCATCGCGAGCGAGCGGAGAACGTTGCCATAGAGGTTCTTGAATTCAAGCTTCGCGGTCTTCGACATTTTGTGCTGCTCTTTGATGAGCTTCACAAGACGCCCAAGGTCATTTTGCACTTTAGTCCGATTGCCGTACTCGGAGATCTTACCACCTTCTGCCATTTGTTGGACATAGTGTTCGAGCTTGCGGCAACTCTGTCGAGGAACCTCTTCGTAATTGAGATTTCCGCGAGCGTCGATGGACGTGTGGGGACCGGTTGGTACGGCTACATCCTTATAAGCTGGCGGGACATTCAAGACTTCTTTGCAATTTTCGATGAGTTGTTGCCCAAGCTCCTTGGCAAGCTTATAAGTCTCCCCACGTTCTGTCGGGCAGTTGTCGATGTGGTACTGCATGAACTCGAGTAACAGGGGATTTGACTTGCTCATGATGCGGATGCATTGGCTCACAATTTCTCTGTCAACAACTTGCAACCGGCCGAAAATAACATCATAAAACATGCTGAGAGCGTCTTGACGCGCCCAGTTCCAGGAAGAATCGTAAGTACGTGCTTTAAGGGGACTAAAAACGGGCTCGATACCCGCCGCATAGAAATCGCCATGTTCAGCACTCCAAAGGTCCAGCTGCGCCTGTAGCACCTGTTGCGATTCTTGTGAGGTCTGTGCAGCCTTATCACCTGCTCGAAGGTCCATTTTCAGGTATCTCGCGAGTAACTCTAACTGTTGCTTGAACAAAGCTCGCTGATCTTTGGTGAGCGCGTCAATGGCAGCAGGATCCATCATCATGCCGCCAGAGCCACCAGATGCCGGGCCAGCGGCAACGGCTGTAGACAAACTAATACCAGCGTTTGTAGCATATTTCTGTGTAACGTCGTCTAGATATGCTTTGGCATCGTTTTCAGAGCCCAGACGTGCTGCTGGCTCCATAGTAAGGGCTAGTATAAGGGCACCATCTTGTCTGCCAGGACCGAGGCCCCATCTTGTCTCCAGATACTTGCGTGCACTTGTCATATTAAACCCACCCGGCATCTTAGAAGAAATCAGGCGGGCAATAAGTGACTGGGACTGCTTTCCAAGCTGACCATTGAAGGTAGCCTGCATTAATCCCGATAACTCATCTATAGGGGTATCTTCTGGTTTTTCGGGAGTTGATCCAAATTCTTTTCCTAAGTCTCCAACGATTTCGTTCTGGAGTGTAGATTTTCCTGCACTCTGGTTAGCTCTTGAACCCTATACTTGTCGTAGCATATACGGACCTCCGACTAAATCTTTGATGGCCTTGCTTAGAGGTACTTCTAGGAATGGCTTCTTCAACTTTTGCGCAATCAATGCTCTAACTATCTCAAGGGCAGATATTGGAGCATCGTCTATAGATGCGGCGGGACCTGCGCTAGGTGCGGGAGCGGCAGCAACCGAGGCGGCGGCGGCGGCAGGTGCTGGCGCAGAGCTTGATGATGCCACTGGCGCAGTAGCAGCAGCAGGCTCTGGTTCCTCCTCAATCGGATCTACATCGTAGTAAATCTCTTTTGCGTCTTTATTATAGCAGAGGATTTGTCGTTGAATGGATTTGGCAGCATCGAAAGCTTCATACTTGGATGCGATTGTCCTCTTTGCCATAACACCTAAGGTATCCGCTGGCCCAACTTCGACGATCCGCTCGGCCGTTTTCTCGCCGAGGAAGACATCTTGAGTTTCGATCCATCTCACGGGGGAGGCAAACTGGTAGGCAAGAAGCTCAACTAGTAAGGTGTGAGCGAGCTCCTGCTCGACTTCTGGACGCATTTTGGGTGGTAAGGTCGAAATAGTTGGGCAAATAGGATTAAAGATAGGCTGCAAACAAGACGAGTTTAAAAGACTACAATGTCAACACTCTAATGGGTTCTGCTTGTTTGATCTTACGTCGGCTAGGAGGGGACGTATAGGTAATCGTGGGTAGACACTTTGTTCGTGTCTAACAAGCTCTCCCCTCTACGATCAAGTAATACAGCGAGGATTCGAGGTGGAAAAGAGCGTATGCCAAGCTCAACTGGAAGCAGTGTAGCCGGCAAGTTTCAGAGGAAGATGAGAGGGAGGAAGGAGGAGGTAGGAATTACTGATGGATGGATCAATGAATTACTGATCGATTGAGTAATTAGGTTTTTAGTATGGAGATTATGAAGCGTCGCCGTCGTATGGCTGGCGATCACTTTTGACAAAAAGTTTGCCTGGGAAAAGACAGGCCTGAAAATGTACAAAGTACGAAGAGGGTAGGGTTAGTTTACATGTACTATGTAGGTACGTACATGGGTAACTTCTTTCTCATGCGGGAAGGATGCCAAGTGTAACAGTCGAAAGAGTAGAGCTTTCCCAAATGTTGAACTGCGGCTATGGAAAATTTTGGCGGGATCGTTAAGATAGAGGGTCGTTGTTCCCCATTTCCGGGCCAATGGCTGGACTTACATGTACCTACATAGTGGACAATAACTTAGAAAACACCGGCCTAGAGCACCCCCCCTTCCCCCCCATGCCGTAGTCATGCAGCTTTGCTGCAGTGCCACCGCAACTGTTATGCATTAAATTACACCAATACTAATAAAAATTGTATCTTTTAGGGTTACTACAACCTCGCCAGCAAGTAGACAAATATGTACATACCTGTAAAGACTAGAAAGGAGACATTTACAAAGCATTCATTTGTTTTACTATGATTTGCCATCGAAACATCTTTTGGCCCACTATTTCTCAACCATATTCTATGGTATATGCGGCTATGCCTATCATAGATTAGTCTCTTATGAGACCCCTTCTCCACAGGGACCCAGAGACCCAGAGACCCAGCCCGCAAAGTTGGGGTTTGTCGATTTATCTTTGCCTTCCTCGTTAATAGTCAAGACATGTATTGTCTTATTCCTACATAGGTCTAGGTCTGACGAGCAACTAAGAAACCTTCTTCGCCATTGACTTCCCGAGGACAGATTAGATTCAACGACTAAGACTAAAAGAACCTCGTGGTCTTGCCTATAATTTTTAGCTCTTGAAATATTTTATTTATGTATTCAATTTGGTGGCTAGTCGTCATTCGACTTTAGTCTAATGCAGGCTTAGCGAGTAGTGTCCCCACGAATCCTATTCCGTGATACATACCAGGAACCACCCAAGCAGCCCAAGGGTGCGTCTGAATGGCTTAGCGGTAGTTTGCCTGCCGTACCATTCCAGCGGTCCAATATCCACTATGTAGACCTCCACAAACAGGGGGGTTTCCTGACCCAAGTATATGTACTTGCATGAGAGTTAGTAACGTATCCATCTATCATCGATAACTTGCATATTATCTTGATTGTTGATTGTTCCGAGGACGACTCTCATTTCCCAGAGTAGGATTTAAAAAGCGAGGCTACGAACGCCATTGATCTGTATTTGCGTCACATCGTATGAATTTTGCGAGGATCTTTAGAAGCACACTGACTAATAGGGGAAATGTCTACACACTGATTGGTTATCGTATTGTCTTAATTTCGAAGGAGTAACAACCTTCTATGATATTGCATCATATTACCGTCTTTCTGCATGTTGAAGCCTGTGTGATACATAGTAGTTCCGATGACACGCATCGAGAGCGGGTTTGGAGATCTCTTTAACCCTGTATTTTGTTTAAGCAAAAGCCATCCTGCTATCTGCGATGAGGACTCGGAAATGCATGGTGTGGGGACATCTGGGCATGCGTACCCATGCAGGCAGGCCACGTTCCAACGTTCCAGCACTCTTTTAAAGCGAAGACACGATAATGGCCCAAGGGTTCTCGTTTTGCTTTCGTAATCGTTTTGGTTACCTGTGGTAGTGTTTAACTTCGATGTGCCAGTTTGACCAACAACCAACTCAGAATCAGTCAAGTCTCCACGTCCCTCCACATCCAACATCTGCTGACTCGAGACTGGTAGCATGTCCTAGTAAATTTGTAAATCTTGAGCTAAATATTTGCCTGATGTAACCGGGGTTACAATAACTAATCATTCGAAAACAAAAATTGATTTGAGATAAAAAGGAGGCATGGGGTCTAGAACTTTGATATCTTGGGTAAGGAGGTTAGGAGGTAGGCAGGTAGGATGGGACGATAGCATTTGAGTGTGGTATACAAACGAGTATCTAAGTATGTACCTGCACTTACTGATATCCAAGTACAGATACAGACCACTGCTGTGGTACCATTAGAGTGGGGTTAAGGCCACAGCTACAGGGTTAGGTAGTTTTACAATGTGGCACCCCCTAACCCGAACAAATCCCCAACAAGAACTTAAATTTTTTTTCTGGCGAGGGGAGATGTCTTTTGTGAATATTCATTAGGCTTGTTTACTAGGTACATGTAGATATTTACGTCGGGTAAAAGATACAACGTTGAGAGGGACTTGACAGGGGCTTTAATACTGAATTGTAAGGTACCACAAACTTTAACTGCGTGCGTATGCATTGGATGTCGGTAACGAAGTTCCCTTCAACTGCAACATACCGACCCGCCACAACCCACGACGCTGTCTCTTACATATCGAAGCTGCAATACCACATCTTTCCCAGCTTCAGTCCTACCCTAAAAAAAAACTTTTCTTTCATTATTCTGCCTCCCCGTGACAGGTAATTGTCTTCGTCAATCAGCCTTTCAATAGTAAGGCTGTTATTTACCTGGTCAAATCTGTGGGCGCAATTCCCAAGTTTACCATCCGAACCACATCGAATAATTTTCCCCCACCAAAATATTCCTAACATTACATCTCCTGCTCTTTACTGAGTTTACGGAGATATAATTAATAGTAAGATACATTTTTTAGAAGAGCCTAAGTAATATCATAATCTCTAACATAAAAATCAAGCACCGATACCTACCTACCTCACCCGTTATTCTTCGATACCCTTAATCATGTACGGGACCGCGGGCCCAGGCCCTCAAACGGGCGTATCTACCCCCAGATCAAACTCATCTCTCCGACCTCTCACCATTGTGCATGGATCTCTTGAGGCTTCGTTCCTCGTGCCTACCGGTGTCCATTTCCATGCGTCTCAACTCAAAGACCGGTTTACAGCCGGCCTCCCAGCACCAACCGATGAATTAGCTCTAGATGACGAGCCATCCTCTATAGCAGAACTCGTTGCAAGGTACATGGGATTCGTGGCGCACGAAGTCGAGGAGGGGGAAGATGATGCCCAGGGTTCGTACGAGGAAGTCTTAAAACTCGTTCTTAACGAGTTCGAGCGAATGTTCCTTCGAGGAAACGATGTTCACACCCTAGCAAAGAACCTACCAGGCATTCTTGCAAAGCAGATTGCTGTTGTACGATGCTATTATGCAGCTCGTTCAGTAGCGAATCGCGCTATCAGACCGCATGAGTCTGCGCTTCTGAGAGCTGCGGACGAGGGCAGTGCTGGTATCTATAGCATCTTTGGTGGTCAAGGAAACATCATTGAATACTTCGACGAGTTGCGTGAAGTATATGAGACATACCCCTCTTTCGTTGGGGAGCTCGTCACGACATCGGCCGACCTACTTCACACCCTTGCTTTAGACTCGAGGGCAGAAAAATTATATGCGAAGGGACTCGACGTAATGGAATGGCTACGTAACCCGGATGTAACACCTGATCCTCAGTACCTCATTTCCGCTCCCGTGAGCTTACCTCTGATCGGGCTGGTGCAGTTATGCCACTACCAAGTCCTAGGAAAGGGACTTGGTGTACACCCTGGAATTCTGCGAGATCGCATTCGCGGCGCGACCGGCCATTCTCAAGGTGTCATTGTTGCAGCAGCTACCGCAGCCGCGGATTCGTGGGAATCATACGAGAAGTTAGCGAAAGATGCTCTTACAATCCTATTTTGGATCGGTGCCCGTAGCCAGCAGGTCTTCCCCAAAACCTCGTTGACTCCCGTTATGCTACAGGACTCGATTGATAACGGCGAAGGGGACCCAACTCCCATGTTGAGTATCCGGGACCTACCGCAGAGTGAGGTACAAAAACACATCGATGCCACGAACCAGTATCTTCCCGAAGATCGTCACATCGCGATATCGCTTGTAAACAGCCCTAGGAATATGGTTGTTACTGGCCCGCCGATCTCACTTTATGGTCTAAATCTTCAGTTGCGAAAGGTTAAGGCACCAACGGGTCTCGATCAAACTCGAATTCCTCACACGGAACGAAAAGTTAGATTTGTGAACCGTTTCTTGCCCATCACCGCACCTTTCCACAGCAAATACCTTATCGACGCAACTAAACTGATCGACGAGGACCTTAAAGATGTGAAGATCGACTCCGCGTCTCTGGGAATTGCTGTTTACAATACTTGTACCGGCGCTGATCTGAGAACTGAAGTTCAGGGAGATATTGTCCCCTCTTTAATCCGTATGATCACACGCGACCCCGTCAACTGGGAGAAGGCAACTGTTTTCCCTGGAGCAACCCACGTGTTGGACTTTGGCCCTGGTGGCATTTCTGGACTCGGCATCTTAACTAGCCGCAACAAGGAAGGTACAGGTGTACGTGTGATTCTAGCTGGTACTATTGATGGTGCCGCTCAAGAAGTTGGCTACAAGTCCGAACTCTTCGACCGTGATGAAGAACACGCCGTAGTATACGCAAATGACTGGGTCAAAGAATACGGCCCTCGGCTAGTCAAGACATCAAGTGGTCATACATATGTAGACACTAAGATGAGCAGGTTATTGGGCGTGCCTCCGATTATGGTAGCCGGTATGACGCCAGCCACTGTCCCGTGGGATTTTGTTGCAGCAACCATGAACGCTGGCTATCACATCGAAT